ATTTTCTTTAAAAAAATAGTTAAATTTTTCATTAAAAAATTACATTATCATTTAACTTGACGTTTGTGAATGCAAAATAAATGGCAATTTTCGAATTAGTATAATTCAGAATTAAATTTTCTGTAAACCGGTTCCTAAAAGAATTTATCTTGAAACTACAATCCGATAATTTACTATCCTGCCTGCTTGCGATTAGAAGGGTCCACAGCAGGGGCTGGTTTATTGAAGCGTCATTTTCACTTTGTTCGACTATACGTCTGTTTTGATTACGACGTTATTTTTGTTGGTTATTGTACTTAAAGTGATCAAATTTATACTGGGTGACAATACACATGTAATATTTTTGTTAAAGTCATTGCTCATTTTAATTAATTGTAAACAACTTAAAATCGACATTGTAACTATGTCTGGTAACATATTTTACATGTTACAATTCTATTATATTTCAATATAATACAAAGAAAAAATATTTTTTAATCAAGAAACTGCAATAGTATAAAATAAAACAAATACTTAAAATATTGGAAGTACAGTTGGTCCTGTAGTCACTGTAGGACTGGCAATTTCTCAATTGATACGGAGCGGCATTAAATACTATATTTTTTCTCTTATGTAGAAAATTTTGTCTTATAAAATAAATGTTTTACTTTTTTTGAGATTGAATAGTGATTAATTAGTGAATTAACAAATAAACAATAATCTCATAAAGCTTTGTTACGCATACAGGGTGGTAAAATTTCATAATAAAAATTAAAATCGATAAGTTCTTCCAAAACCATTTAAGTTGTTTTCCTAAAAGTTTACAGTAACTTTATTTTTACTGCTGTTAGTGGCGTGCGTATGGACACAGATATTTTTTTTTTTATTTATTTTTTTATTTGTTTTACATCATAAAGATGATGTAGAAATAGTTGGTTGCAATCTTTCGCAATATTGAGAAAATACCCTGAATAAAACAAAATTATTTTATCAATACTTTCATTAAGAAACTACAGTAAAATAAACAACAAAATTATAAAAACAAAAGTCATTTTTAAATTTAACATCTCGAAAAAAACTTATTTTTTTAACTATTTTATTAGCAATAATTTATAGCACATATTGTTAATGAATTAATAAGAAATGGTCTCAACAAAAATTTCAAAAGTTTTTTTTGCATATAATTAAACTGTACTTACTGTTTTAATTGTTTAAATTTCGTTTAAATATTGTCACGGAAAACTGTATACAATTTCCGCACTACAGGACGGATTATCCAAGATTCAACTTAAAAATAATTGACAACTGATTTTATATCAAACTTATTTATTATGCATAAACTTTGAACACATTATTCTTTT